CGTATCTTTTCTCCCTAGGGAAGTTTTGCCCAAGTCAGGTTTTCTTGAAGAGATGTTTGATTAACATGTTTGTTATGCCCAGCGGAGTAGGTCTCCTATATTTTTTTGGGGCAGAGTACATGGACAAATACCGTTTAAAATTCTTTTATCCCAGTGATGGGATATGGATGAAATATTTCCTCGGTAGAGTTCCAAACCTCAAGCTTATGGTTCAAAGATGACCTTCTCTTCCTCAAGTGAAGATTGTTACCCTCGACAGTAGTATCCTCAGTGTGGCCTGGGTAGAATTATTTTATTAAAAAAAAAAAAGAAAAAAAAAACAAATTTTTTTTTTGCGATTTCCCAATCAAAGTCACTTCTATCGAAGACTTACATCGGAAGATCCCAATTCCCAGCAAGATTCTCTTTATCCTTGGAAAGAGATGTTGGATTTTTCCCTAAGAAGTTGGGAGTTGGATCAGAGTTCGAAAATTTCCCTGAACTGCAATTTATTTTTGCAGTATTTTCCCCAGTGAAGCGAGTTTTCATTCCCTAACGGAGCATGCTTTCTAGAACAAGTGTCATCTTCTCCCCAGTATGGTGCACATGGGAGCACCAATTATAACTCCTTCATCCCGGAATATGAAATATTTTGTTGAGATGTCAGCGGTGGAGTTTCTGTCTTAGGATGTTTGGTTCTTCCCCAAGTGAAGATTTTTATCCCCCGGCGTTGTTATCCCCAGTGTGGTCTGAGTAGAATTCTATTTATTTAAGAATTTCTATACTCCCCAGTAGAAGCTATCTTCGTAAAGAAGTTCTGCGCAAGAGAAAGCTTCCATCCCCAGTGAAGCTATCCCCGTTCTAACAGAAGATAAAGTATATATCCCCCAGGAATTTGGAAGTTTGATCAGAATTCAAGATGTTCTCTCAAACTGCAATTTATTTTTCGCAGTATTACTACCCAGGAAGTTATTTCTTCAATGTTATCAATCGTTCGAGGTTGATGGTTTTGAATCTCGATTTCCTACTGAAGTTCATATTGCATGTTCTCTACAGAAGATTAGATGTGCAAGAATAATCATTTGAAAGTTCATTGTCTTCCCAACATCCGATTATTGACGTGGTCTCCCCAGTGCATTACTAAACATGCATCATTACATTGCATCATTACATCGCATCTACTAAAATGCATATCATTTCCATTGCATGGAGCATTACGCTATAAAAAATTCAAACATGCATAAGTATAAGCCAATTATGTCCACTTGTGGTAACCAGATTGTTATGCGCTCAGATTTGATTTATCTCCACAACAAGCCTAAGGGTGACTCTATTATGTTTCCCCAGCGGGGTTTGTTTTGATTCACCATCAGTCGGGTCTTTGGTATTCCTCCATCTCCCCAGTAAGTTTGTGGTTTGCGCTTGCCTTTTCAAGCCTTTTGTTATTTTACCCGTGTTTGCTTTGTCGTTAGAGTGCGAGTAAGAGTCGGCGTATAGCCTTTCTTATTTCTCAAGTATTTGAGTGTCCATACTTGGTGTGTGGTAATTCAGATGATTGCCACTCTTGAAGAATTACACCCCGCCTTTGGCCTGAGGGATTTTTTAGTTCTTGCATATTTGCAACCTATCGAAAGCCTAACATGTTTTTCTTTGTTAGAGTCTGCTTGGACCAGTCCCTTTCTCTTGTAGAGTTCACATTCGATCGGTGCTCTTTGAAGGTCCTGCTTAGTCGCTTCCTTGTTTTGGTTTATCCACGTTAGTCAGGTCCTCCTTTCGTTAGCCTAGCTAATCTTTTATGTTAAGAGTCTTTCAGTGTCTCTTCAAAGTCTAGTTGTCTAGCATCCTTATTTAGGCGAATGCGGCCTTTTTATTGGGGCTTTCTTCGGTTAGTCTCGTTCCTGTGTTCGCTAGCAATTCTAAACATTTGTTTCTTGATGATCAACTTCGCTCTTGTGTATCTAACTCTGACCAGACATGCATACCTGTATCTTTCAAAACCCCGCTTCGGCTGGTATCTTTTGTCAAAATCCCGCTTCGGATGGTGTCATTTCTTTTAAATCCACCTTCGATTGACATCATTTGTCCGGAGTCCCATTCGTTTGGTCTCCTTCCTCAGTAAGTCCGCCTTCGATTGGTGTTTCTTTGCAAGAGCTTTCTTCGGTCTGTCTCTTTCGTACGTATCCGATACCAACCACGGATATGTATTTTCGATACCTGTTTCATATGTCTGCTACCAACCTCAGACATATGTTCTTGTATCTTTGACGTCTCTTTCGTACGTATCTGATACCGACCACGGATATGTATCTTTGATGTCTCTGTCGTACGTATCCGATACCAACCACGAATATGTATTTTCGATACCTGTTTCATATGTCTGCTACCAACCTCAGACATATGATCTTGTATCTTTGACGTCTCTTTCGTACGTATCCGATACCGACCACGTATATGTATCTTTGCTGTCTCTGTCGTATGTATCCGATACCGACCATGGATATGTATCTTTGATATCTCTTTTGTGCATATTCGATACCGACCACGAATATGTATCTTTGATATCTCTTTTGTGCGTATCCGATACCGACCACGGATATGTATCTTTGATATCTCTCTTGTGCGTATCCGATACCGACCACGGATATGTATCTTGTCTATATCTTTTGTGCGTATCCGATACCGACCACGAATATGTATTTTTTATATCTCTTTCTTACGTGTCCGATACCGACCACAGATATGTATTTTTGATGTCTCTTTCTTGTATATCCGTTACCAACCCCGGATATGTGTCTCTGATATTTTTTTCGTATGTCTACTACAGGCTTCAGGCATATATCTTTTGATACCTTTCTTACAGGTGTTTGTTACTAAATCCCAACAGATGTTCCTTGATAACCAAGTTATTCTGCTGTGTATCAAACTCTGGTTAAACATACATCTAACCCCGATGACCCATGTAATCCAAAAAGCAAAATAATATAATAAAAATAGATTCCGAAAAAGAAAAATAATAATACCTGACTGACTCCGAAGCGCAAATTTTTGGGTCCTTTTAAGTATTTAATCTTCTTCCACCTTGAAAGTTCGAAAGATTGGCGCCAATCTCACCTTCAGGTTGAAGATGATTAAATAGGGGCAGCTGTTGCACCCCAAAATTTGCCCTCCTAATTTCCCTTATTTTTGGCTTAGACTTTTGCATTCATCTGCATCTTTTTCATTAGGTCACTAACATGGCGTACATTTCATTCAATATAGCTCTGAGGTTCAAAGTTCAGTGGTTGTGCGATACTAGGGTTTCATAGTGGTTAAGGCGCTTATATCTAATAAAGGACTTCTTCTCCCTCAAGCAGCAAGGCTATTATCTTCTGATAAACAACCGATTGTAGGTCATTCTGGTCAAGAACTCTAGGACGTGACCTGGCATATGTGGGCTTCGAATCATGACGTCCTTTCCTATAAGTATGCTTGTCATTTGATTAGGATTAATGACTGTGACATGACAATCGTCTACTCCTCATTTAAGCAAATTAGGTTTTGTTGAATCATGGTTCAAAGATGTTTTATCCGGATATTTCTCTGTGCGTCTGAACGAGGAATCAAGATTGTGAGGGTTTCACATCAAGGGAATTCTTCTGTGGTTCAGACTTTATCATCCATCTGTAAGATGTTCCTTATGACACTAATCTCAAGTTGAAATAACCGATCGCTAAGGGCTGAGGATTGAATTGTGAAGCGTGGTTCATGACCTAAGATATGAATTCATAGATTGCACCTTAACCAAGGCAATCATTGTCCTCATCATTGTCATTTGTTATCTGCGATGCGAGTAGGTTTGGATTGAAGTAGGTTTCTCATAGAAGAATTCATGCAAGGTAATTCAAGGTTCAAGGCATTCAAGGCAGGGTTTGTTCAACATGGCATACCTGGTTGATGGGCTTACAAGCTCTTATGAGACCTTGAGATGCATAATCATGGGCCAATTTCAAAGATATGTGGATAAGATCTGTTGACTTCGGTTAAAGTAAGCTTTGAAAAATTAACTTTGGGACCAAGGTCTCCCTTGAATTTTCATCTAATATGTGTTGGGAATTCGAGTTGCATTTGAAGAATGGTATGGTAAAGGAAAAGAAATATTGGTTCAGAAAAGAAAAAATTCATTAAAAATCAGGGTTTCTATTCATTGATAAAAGTTCAAGTAATTGAAGATCAGGGGAAATAAGGTTTCATATTAATCTTAATCATATTCTTTCATTATCATTTACATCCATCTTTGATGATTTAAGGTCGTCAATTAGGGAAGGACTTTGTCAAGATAAGAGACTTGTGGATTGAATCGTGGAATATGAGGCATGATACGAATGGCAAGGTTGTGAATTTTTTAGGATCAAGATCTTATTGACTATTCAAATTATTTGTCATTCAAGTTGATTTGGGTTCAAGATTGAAGTTAGGAGTTCATTGAGAATGCAAGTGTGATTTGGATTTTAAGTTTGATTTGAGTTCAAGATGTTCGAAAGTGTTTGATTGGATTAAAGTTGGCAAAGAACCTTAAGTATTGGTCATATGAGTTTCTTGGAAGGTAAAGTACAGACTGCGAGGTCTTGTTTCAAGTCGGAGTTCATACGCATTACAAAGACGTTCATCGTTATTCCAGATTCAAGTTGATATGTGTTCAAAGTTTATTCGAACCCTTTCATTCATGATTCAAGAAAATACTATCCAATTCCATTCAATTTCATTCAAGTGTAACAATACCTTACAAGAAAATCTGATGCTTTCATGTCTTCAAGCATTTTTTCAAGACTTTGTCATTTAAACTTCGTCCTTAAAAATTCATCACCCAACATTTCAAGCTCAAAGGTCATTTACAATTCACACTATAAATTTCAAGTTCATCCAAACCAAACATTCATTACAATCCCATTACACCAATATTCTACAAAAAAAACTGTTTCACTAAATACACCAAAGTCAAACTATTATTCTACTCATCTTTTCCTCGTCTCTTCGCAATTTCAATGAGGAAGTTACTCATCCTTGCATGTGGAACCCACCTTGCTCAATTAAGAATGTTGAAGTTATACTATTTCATTTTTACAAGCCGCTTCATCCTTTGAGATTTGTGATAACAGTTCTTCTCGTGGATGTGCAATGAAGTTGTTAGAGAAGATGATGTCAATTACAGATCCAATTACAGACTTGGTGCTCTTAAGTGTTAAGGCTTTATTCCCGCCACCATTCCGAGCTGTGTTGGGTTGTTTTTCGTTTTTCAATGTGGGCCACAGAGGTATTCAATGTGGGCCACAGAGGTACAACTTCGTCTGGACCTCCCATTGATTCCGACCGCATCCATAGCTATAAATATGATGTGTTTATTAGTTTCAGTGGTGCTGACACCCGCAACACTTTTGTTGATCATCTTTATGCTCATTTAACTAGAAAGGGTATTTTTGCCTTCAAGGATGATATAAGGCTACAGAACGGAGAGTCCCTTTCGCCATAACTTATAGAAGCAATTGCAAACTCACGAGTTTCTATTGTTGTCTTTTCTCCAAATTATGCCGAGTCAACATGGTGTTTGGAAGAAATGGCTACTATTCCTGAATGTCGTAAATATTTGAAACAAATTGTGTTCCCTGTTTTTTATGATATCAATCCATCTCATGTACGAAAGCAGAATGGGGTGTACCAGAATGCCTTTGTTTTACACATGGAGAATTTTATAAATGATCCGAATAAGGTTGTGAGATGGAAGAGAGCTATGGTCGATTTAGCTGACATAGTTGGTTGGGATGTTAGGAACAAGCCAGAATTTCGAGCAATTAAAGATATTGTTCAGGAAGTGATAAAAAAATTGGGTCATAAATTCTCAGGGTTTACTGATGACCTTATTGGGATACAACCTCGAGTAGAAGCATTACAAAGTCTTTTGAAATTAAGCTCAAAGGATGATGAATTCCGCGTTGTAGGTATTTGGGGGATGGCTGGAATCGGAAAGACAACTCTCGCTTCTGTCTTGTATGATAGAATCTCCTATCAGTTTGATGCATGTTGTTTTATTTAGAATGTAAGCAAAATTTATAAAGATGGTGGTGCTACTGCTGTACAGATACAAATCCTTCGGCAAACCATAGATGGAATAAATCTAGAGACATACAGCCCTTCTGAAATATCTGGAATTATAAGTAATCGACTATGCAGAAGAAAGATTCTTTTAGTTCTTGACAATGCTGATCTATTAAAGCAACTAGAAGATTTGGCTATAAATCCCGAGTATGCCATGACTGGACACCTGCTTGTTAAAAGTGATGTGTACAGCTATGGCAGAAGCTGCAGAAGCAATCAGACGCCCAAATCTAACTATTCAAAAAAAAGATCATAACAAACTTAACAGTAGCCTAACAAACTCTAACAAACTCCTAACTTCCTAATTAACATCACCCAAGGGATCCTAACAACCTGAAAACAGTACAACTGCCAAACAAAAATCCATAATTCCAAACAGATTTTTCTAACTGCTTTCTAACAGATTTACTAACTTCCTAAACCATGACCAACTCCGAGCCCTCTATATAATGGAAATTCAGAGATTGCAGAAGAGGAGGAGATATCATCATTTAATTCAGAACTATTACAGTTATTCAATAACACCGAGAAAAGTCAAGAAAATTAGATATAGAAAAAAAACTCACCAACAAACCCTGAAATTCTCTATCCCCCGTCTTAATCTTCAACCACCTTTCAATCTTCCTCTTCAACTATCATCATCTTCAACCTTCTTCATCCTTTAATTCACATAAGAGTCACCACCAAAATTCCCTACTCTCTCTCCGAGAAAACTGCAGAATTTCACCTGCCAAAATCTCTTTCTTCTTTCTCTCTGCTTCATCTTCTTTGCAACTCTGCAGAATCTTCATTACACTTCGTGATTGCTTCAGGCTCGCTTCAATTTGTTGTTACCATCGCATCACCTTCCGTAATTGCCTCATCAACACCTTCAACCGCCTCAACTATCTTCAAGAAACAACAACATCACAGTGTCCTTTAACTCGGAATGCATCGTCCATTTCGCTGCATCGTTCATCGAACTCATCACAATTGCTACGATAGAGAAAAGTGACGTAAACACACGTAGGAACATAGAAGGTAGGAGAAGAAGAGCAGAAAATCAATGAAACAAAGAGAAGAAGAAGAACCGTGTGAATAGGTACAAGGCACAAATCTTCACCTGAGTTCGCAGCCACCATACCAGAGTATCAAAAGCTTCAACAGGTTTCGTTTTCCCGATTACTCCATATATCCGTGTATTTTCTTGATTGTTCGCAGTTGATTGTATATTCATAAACCATACATCATTGAGACCTAGCTCGAATTCGCGAAATCTGCGTCTTAGGGTTTCAAAGTTACTCCTTTGATCCAGCCATTTGAGAAGTTTCTGGAAGGAATTGATGCGAGATTCATGATCTAAAGGAAGCATAACGAAGGGTTTGTGTTCATTTCATAGAGATTAAAGAAGGATTGGGACGGTGGCGGCGGCGATGAATCCGTCGGATTTCCGCGAGAGAGAAGAAGTTATCAAGGAAGTTTAAACGTCACTTTCTTTAACCCCGTCCTTTAAACTAATGCGTTGTCGTTTTGTTATGTGCCAATTTGTTCCATTTTTTGTTATTTTATTAATGGTGGAACATAATTGGAAGAATAATAAAAAAAATGGTGATAAGGTTTGAATTGGGTATGGGCCAGACAACACTTTCCCCTTTGGGCCCATTAGCACTTTTTATATAACCTTGTGTATCACAAAAAAAGATTATTGGAGTCAAGCTGGGCCTAGAGAATCATTTTTATATACCACTTACTTCTTATGCAACGCACCCCCTGCATACTTTGTATTATTTCTTAACTAATTTTATGTGATATTTCTACATGGCTTTTTTTTTAATTGTTCACGTGATAAAAATTCAAAAATATTAGAATAGAATTTTACTTCTTTTATTAGCTGTTTGTTATTTTATCCATGTTTTTGGTAGATTTTTAATGCCAATTTTGTGTGAGATGTTGAAATAAAAGAGACTTGAGTGAGGAGCTACATGAAATTTCAAAGCTAGCTAAGAGCATAATTTTCAATCACTCGCTCAAGGAAACTTTGATAGAATTCTCTTATGGCTTGCATGGTTATGAAGAGGCGACAGACCTTCTCCGTTCGGTATCGTCACAACTCTATTTTTACTCCTGCACTTTACCACTTTCTAGGTAGAATTCCCTCAAGATTCTAACTTTAGGTCTAATGCACGATAACATTAGATTTAGAAATAGGCTAGTCTTCCTGTGACTTTCGTCTTCCTGTGACTTTCGTCTTCCTGTGACTTTCGTCTTCCTGTGACTTTCGTCTTCTTGTGACTTTCGTCTTCCTGTGACTTTCTTTCCTCCTTTGCATATGCAGTTAAAACAAAAAACTTTTTTTTTACAAACTTCAAAAATACATAAAAATTTACTGACAAAAACCATGTCTTGGCTAAGTTTGAGAGATGATGAGCGGGTTTCTTCTCGACATTATTATTCTCTTGTTCTAAGCTTTGGTATGATTCAAGTCTCAAAGACTCATTTCATGAATAAGTAGAGACATGGCTAAAATCTCTCCCTTGAGATTAACTAGTTATTCTCTACAAGCGAAAAACACCAACAAACATAAAAAATCTTTTTTGCCCTCGGGCCTTTCTTTCAAACCCTTTTCAGAAGAGCATGTTAATTCACTTTTGTGCTGACGCGTAAGTCTCCAACGGTCGAGTTGCGGCAGAAGGCGAAATTAATGTTGTTCATTAAAAAATACCAACCAACAAAAACATATAAGCCGAACTACGGCTGCTCTGATTCCTTAAAAGGGATACGTAGGCATCGGGGTAGGGCCCGAACGAGCACAACTTTTATTTTCCCTACATTCTTTTCCCCTTTCTTTTGCATGCATTTTCCCTTTAGCAGTAATAAACAGTAAGCATAGATTGAACACACCCATAAGATAGACAACAAGAGTGGATACCGTAGAGTACTACGGGCGTGTGGGGTGCTAATACCTTCCCCTCGCGTAACATACTCCCTTACCCGATCTCTCGGTCGCAAGACAGTGACTTCTCCCTTCTCAAGTTTTCTCGATGTTTGCCTTTCCCTACATGTGGGATAAAAGACGTTCGATGGTGACTTCATTGTTTTGATGATTTTCCGCCGGTTGTTTCACATATCTCTCTCTCAATTTTAACCCTATGAGGGTGTTCTTGGACTTTTTAGAGATCTTAGGATGTCCTCTAAACAACCCCTTTTGTTTCATCTCAATTGTATTTTCCATGTTCATTTAAGGAGCTTTGACCCAAAAGGTGTTTTTGTTGACTTTTTGAAAGGACCCATAATGTCTGAGCTTGTATCTTTTAACTTGGCCATTTCTTGAACTTGAGGGCTGAAGAGAAGTTGTAGGGAATTAGATTCTCTTAAAAATGAGCTTCGGTGGAAAACTTTTTGATAAAGTATGAGAAAGTTATGCCTGGTCAAAGTTTGGTTGACTTTTCCTATAGAAACCCTAATTTGCAATTTTTTACTTTTGATGAGTTAGGAGCATTTCTTGAGGAATAATGATCAACCCTTGACCAAATGATGGATATCACTTCAAAATGTTGATGTTGACCAAAAATATTGAAGTTTGACTGTATATAGGCCACAATTGACTTTTGACCAAATATAGTTGATTTTCAGGCATTTGAGCAGTTGACTGAGCAAACTTGTTGTGCAAGGCATGAAATTTGTCATGGATAACCTTGAGGACATATTAGGACCATGGAAAACATTTGATACCATTGGAACTCACACAACTTGATGAAAATTGAAACCCTAGTTAGAGGTTTATTGCCTTAGGAGGAGAATTTGTCTGGTCAATTCTTGGTCATCTATGGGCAAGTTGGGGACCTCAATGGGCATGTGTTGAGTAAAATGAGAGGGAAAATTTTGGGGTACAACAACTGCCCCTGTTCAATCTTCTTAAACCTGAGGATGTAGATTGGCTTGTCTTCCTTTCGTGATTTGAAGGTAAAAGATGATTGAACACTAGAGTGCCCAAAAATTTGCACTCGTCTGAAGTAGCACCGTTGGTGGATAATATCGGGAATGGGCTTATAGATGCCATTTGGAAAAGATGACAAAATATTATTAGAGATGGGCTTGAAGATTCCATCCAGGGGGAATAACGAAGAGTCGTCAGAGATGGGCTTACAGATGCCATCTAGAGAACATGTTATTTTCATGAGAGGTTCCTTTGTGGGGATTCCTGTTCCTGTCATTGAAGAGGACTCTGCTGGGGAATGTTGGTCTCTGTTTCGGGAAATAGAGTTTAGGAGCTTCCGTTGTCCATTACACTACTAGGGGATTATCTCTTGATTGAAGATACGAAAGTAAACTGCTATCTGGTCAGAATCTAGGCTTCACAACAACTTGTTGAGGATAATAAGGCTTACTACTACCTGG